GTGCTGAAAGGATGAAAGGCTGGCTTTGTGTCAGTCACGAACGGCCTCTGGGAGCCATGGGCATGGTTAATTCCCTTGGTTAATTACTTAGCCCTTACCCCTTATGGGGACCCTAAGGGGTAGACCATTTCTTTTCCCCCGGTTATTCAGGCTCACCATGGCCAGTAATGAAGATTCCTTACCCTTGATAGAGGCATTAAGGCTTGCCCCCTTCATCAAATAGCCTATCTGAATTTGATTTGGATGGTTTTCCGACCCCTGCCCCTCCTTTGACCACGGCTCCAACCACTGATGCTAATACCCCCTCTTCGACGCTTACAAACAACTCTAACCATTCTGAAAAACCCATTCAGGTTATTACTCAACCCCTGGAAAATACCTTTTCCTCATCCCCAATATTCTCCTCTTCATCCCCTATTGCACGACCTTCTTCAATGTCAACCCCCTCTTCCCTTATTACTACTCTTCATCCTTATTGTCCTCCCCCCACAGAACTACTCCACTCCACACCACCCCATCTTCCTCTCGCCCTCGTCTTTCTACTACCTCTACTTCTGCAAACCTTCTGGGTACTCTATTTGGCCCAGCTAAGTAGGATCAATTCTTTGAGATTCCCCCCACAGCCCCCTATTCTGAGAATACCCTTCTCTTTCAGCAGTGCCTCCAGAAACAAGTAGGCAAGGTTACCTTTCGCAGTCGCTCTGATCGTTCACGCCTTGTCACAGTTACATCTGAAGCTCAAGCTCGTGCACTATCTGCCCTAACTGACCTTACTGGCACACCCATTCCTCCTGAACCTCACCCAACTCTTAATACTTGTACTGGAACTGTTTCTATTCCCCCAAATGCTTGTCCCATGTATAACAAGGACTGGTCAGACTGTGAAAATGACCTACTTTCTTGCCTTGATGAATATGATGCAGTGGCAGGACAGTGTTACACTCTTCCTCCTAGAGGCCTACATGAATCTCATGTCAATATTGCCAAGATTATCTTCCATAGACAGGACCTCCCCCATGAGGTTTATATTGGTGGATTGTCTTATCATGTCCGACAATATCAACCCCTTCCTCGTCAATGTCAATAATGGCGTTTTGGCCACCCAGCCAAACATTGTTGCCCCACAGCCCAATGCCCTTTATGTGTCCAACCTGGTCATGACTGTTCAAATTGCTCGGCTCAGCCACGTACATGTGCCAATTGTGGAGACTCCCATAATGTGTTTTATAGGAGCTGCCCTGCCTATAAGTTTGAATGTGAGGTAGCAGTCCTCAGATTTAAACTAGGCCTCACTCTACGAGAGGCCAGACTGGAAGCACGAAGATGAGGTTTTTCTCTCTCAACTTATTCCAAAACAGTCCTGCGCTCTGCTCCCTTACCATTTACACAAGATATTTCTGCATCCCCCCAGGTATCTTTTCCCAATACCTAAAACCTACATCCTACGTCTACTTACCCCATCCACCAGTCAAATCCATTTTCCATCCTAAATCCAGACACTCCAATCTCTACCACTTCCCGGATACCTACCCCTCCTCCTCACTTTAGTTGTCGTACCAGACAACCTAAGCGTTCCACTCCACACTCTCCTACTACATTCTCTCCTACACCTTCCTCTTCATCTGTTCCTCAGATATCCATCTCCTCTTCTCCTTATAAGAGAACCTTTGTTTCTCAGTCCTCTATACCAAATTCCCCTTCAGAAACCTTTGAAGACATCCAACACTTCCTAAACATGACCCAAGGGAACACACCGCTCCCCCAGTCCCTCTGTTCCTACTAGTGCTAAATTTAAAGTATTTGCAGATATTCATCCTCCTCCTTCTCAAGTTCCCTCCACCCCCTTCCTCCTACACCCTCCCAACATACCCCACCCTCTCTACCACTTGAATACTCACACGAATCCTCTCTATCACAACAGTGTCTTTCTCCACACCTGTCCTCTCCAAACATTTTTCCTAGTGTTTCACCACCTTCCCCAGTCTCTCTTTCTCAACCTCTGGATTCTTCTCCTCCAAGTTCTCCAACAGCCACCTCTGTTTTCCTTGATCAGTGTCCCTACTCCTTCCCCAGTCACAGATACACTGCAATTTACTCACTTGCTCTGCCCCCTTATGTTCCCCCAACCCCTTCCCAAGATGCCTCATCCTCTCAACCACCCAAATCGCCCATACCACCCAAACTGAACCTCCCCCCAAAACCCCATCCTTCCATACTATCCCTCCCATTCCCTCCTGGATATACACGTGAATTTCTTTTATCACAATATCCTTCCCCAGACTCCACTGTCCCTATTGAACCCCCAGACACTACTCCTTCACCAATTCCTGATCCTTTGTCTCAACCCCCAGATACCTAATCCCCTACTACTAATACAACCATATATAACATTACCACCTATTATCCCTATTCCTTCCCCAGTCACAGATACAAAACAATTCATTTAATCAATCTGCCTCCTTAACCTTTCCCATTTATTAATCACTGCTCTACTTCATTTACTTCCCTCCCTTCCCCTTTTCATTACCATACTTTCCTGTAACAACCTCTAATCTTTGATATTTAACACCATCCCCTATCCCCAGATTTTTCTCTTACTCTTCAACAGCTATCTCTATTCTTACTTGAACATTTTTCCTATACCTTCTCCAGTGACAGATACACTATAATTCACTCAATCGCCCTCCCCTCCCCTTTATACTAACTTCTGCTCTAGCTCACTTGCTCCCCTGTCCCCTTTTTCACTACCATATTATCATATAACGTTCTTAAACCTTTGACATCTAACACATTTTATCATAATCTTTAACTCTCCTTTGCCCTTTCTGATGCAATACTTTGCCATAGTGCTATATGACCTAAGATGTCTAGCACATTTATTTTCAAACATTAAACATTAAACATTGGGATGAGGAAGGATATGTCTTATGTTATGATCCATTCAGTCAATAATTAAGCCCAAACTTCCTCAAAATTCAGTCTCTCCTTCCCTCATTCTAAATCTCTATCTGAACTTCTTTCCTGTTACCCCTTCTCTCCTCCATATTATATTTCTTTTATTGTCAAGACCCCTCCAATCCCATGCCCTTTGTTGTTGTGGGGGGGCTTTGGAGACAGGGACTGTGGCCCTTGTAGAGGTTCACACCTGTCTTGGACCTCAGCCCACACCACTAATTTTGTATGGTCTCTTTTCTACCTCTCATTTTACTTCTGTTCATCCCCTTCTGTCCTCATTCTAAAGTGTGAGAGCTATGCTGAAAGGATGGAAATCTGGCATTGCGTCAGTCCTGAATGGCCTTCATACTCTGTTTGCTATTCGCTCTTTACCATTTTTACTATCATATTAATCTACAGTGATCTCTACAGCCTTTATGTAACATATTTTGTCCTAATTGTTAATTCCTCTTTTTACTTCTTTGCCACAATACTTTATTATAATGTTACATGACCTTTCCTTACCTGGGGCTTCATCCACAAGCCTCCCCAATTGTTATATTCTGTATAGACCCAAACGCCTTCGAAGCATCAGCGAGTAACAGGAACGAGTGGAGAAGAAAAATTAAAGTGGGCATGGACCTCTTTGAAGAGGAAAGAAGAGCCAACCTGGTAGCTAAACGACAGCGACGTGCAGAAAGAACAAATCAACCACAGCCACTTCCCACGATTCAGTGCGATAAATGCCCATGATTATTCAGAGCACGAATTGGTCTTATGAGCCATAAGAAGGCTCACCACCCTAACAATAATTAACCTATGACCCCCTCCTCTATTCAACCTTTATTGGACTGAAAACTATGATATTCGGATACGAGTACATGCCGATGATGCCGCTTATGACCTTAGATATTGACAAGGCAGAAATTTTTCAATAAACAAAATAAATCATTGTCAGGGTTACTTTTTCAGCTCTAAAATGTCTTCATGCTTTGTTATTCAAAGAATGTAGTCAAAATATTATAATGCTTTTTTTCTGTCATTTCCACTTTGGTTTCATATCTCTCAAGACAATAGAGGAGCATTACAGATTGTACAGTATTACTTACTAGGTGTAGATTTAAACATTTTGCTCAATAGATACCACAAAGTGAAGCCAGAATAGCAAATTCTAGAAATCTTTCATAACTTTTTTCCCAAAAATCTTAATATATCATGTTTTCTTTTATATTTTCAGGTGATTCTCTAAATCTTTGTATTGTTTTATCTAATAGAATTGTGTGTGTATCTTAATTGTACAAGATTTACTGTAAGAGTGAAATATTCATCTTTGAATATGGTTTAATATTCAGATATGACTATAAATGAGATCACGAGTTGCTATTAATGGCTTGTAGACTTGATCTGGCCCATCCTTTGGAATATCTTACCGTATCCAGCTTGTTGTATTACAAGCTGCATGTTTTTTTATAAAAATAATTGGAAGCAGCAGCTTTCCTTTTTCATTTAATTTCCTTTTATATATATCAAATGTAATGCTGGATTCAGTCAACACCAGAACTAGATCCTTCATCCATAGAATCATTACTGTGGCAAACAGGAACTCATGCATGGAATATTTTATTTGATTGTAAACAGTATATAGTAAAAACTACAAAAATACTTTTCAAGTCATATATTTTGAAAAAAATTCACATATATAAAAAATAGATAACATACATGTTCCATACAAATGCTCTTTACTATTGATAAGATTTTATATTTAAAAAAATATATATTTGCATACAAAAACCGTACACATGATTCAGTTCCGCTTTCTGTCTTCTTCTATTGAATATAACTGTAAAAACAAAAATTAAATGTTAGTTAAAATTATTAATGTAGATGGAATGCTCAACTATAATTTAATTTATGTACAATATATCACAGATTTACAATATTTTGTCATTTAAGTCTTAATTTGTCAAAGCTTCCAATAATGATGTTCATTTACACACTGAATGTATTTGGCTACTTTATAAGAAAAAATATTGAGTTTGCAGTGTTTTTGACAAAGCAGTAGTGAT